ATGTCCTGGCCACACTGGTGAACCTCCTGGTGACACCTGGTATTTTTGGCCACTGTGTAACACAGAGTGTCGGACTGGATGGGCCATTGGCCTGATCCAACATTGGCTTCTTCTCTTATGTTCTTATGTTCTTAACGTAAGAGAAGCCAGTGTTGGACCAGGCCCATCCAGGTAAGCAACATCAACAGTCCAAGAAGGAGATGAGGTTGGTCTGGCAGGACCCGCTGGGGACAAAGCTGTGCTGACTTCCCTTGTTCACCAAGTTGTCCTTTAGATGCTTGCAGATCTTTCCCTTTAAAATCTGACCCAGTATCTTCCCCGGGACAAAGGTCGGACTGACTGGCCTGTAGTTTCCTGGGTCATCCTTCCTCCCTTCTCTGAAAATTGGGATCACATCTGCTCTCCTCCAGTCTTGTGGCACGTCTCCCATTCTCCAAGAGGTCTTGAAGATGACGGACAAAGGCTCTGTGAGCTCTCTAGAAAGTTCTCTGAGGACTCTTCCCTAGTGGGATTTCTGAAATAGAGATAAATAGGCCCGGAGAGCGAGTCTCATGTGCAGTGGCTGTGAGGAGGCGAGGAACCCTCACCTGCTGGTGGGTTCGTGTCTGCGTGAAGAGGGATGAGCATTCCGAGAATCAGAGACTGGTGAGTGAGGAATCAACCTGGTACGGAGATGCCATTGTTTAGGCAGAATGTAGTGCAGCGGCTGCTGTCACCTGCATGGAGCAGGTTGGCCCGATTTTGCCAGATCTTGGAAGTGAAGCCGAGTTGTCCCTGGTGAGGACTTGGGTGGGAGACCGTAAGGAACGCCAGGGTCGCTATGGAGAGGGAGGCAATGGCAGACCACCTCTCTACGTCTTCTGCCCTAGCCTTGAGGATCCAGACTAGCCCCATCTCGTCACATCACGGAAGCTATCAGGGTCAGGCCTGGTGAGAACTTGGGTGGGAGACCACCAAGGAAGTCCACGGTCGCTACACAGGGGTAAGCCATGGCAAACCTCCTCTGAATGTCTTTTGTCCTGACCTGGATGGCCCAGCCTAGCCCGATTTTGTCAGATCTCAGAAGCTAAGCAGGACTGAACCTGATTAATACCTGGATTGGAGACCACCAAGGAAGCCCAGGGTAGCTATGGAGAGGCAGAGAATGGCAAAGGAAGTGGTGGCGGCTACAAGCATGGACGGCTTCAAAAGGGAATTAGATAAGCATCTGGAGCAGAGGTCCATCAGTGGCTATTAGCCACAAGGTATAGATAGGGGCTCTGGGGCGAGTGATGCTCTGTCTTCTGGGTGCTTGGGGGGGTGTCAACAGTGGGAGGGCTCCTAATGTCCTGGCCCCACTGCTGGACCTCCTGATGGCACTGGTATTTCTGGCCACTGTGTGACACAGAGTGTTGGTCTGGATGGGCGTTTGGCCTGATCCAACATTGGCATCTCTTATGTTCTTCTATGGAGCAGAGGTCCATCAGTGGCTATTAGCCACAAGGTATAGATGGGGACTCTGGAGCAAGGGATGCTCTGTCATCTTGGTGCTTGGGGTGGGGGGTCAACAGTGGGAGGGCTTCTAGTGTCCTGGCCCCACTGCTGGACCTCCTGATGGCACTGGTATTTCTGGCCACTGTATGACACAGAGTGTTGGACTGGATGGGCCTTTGGCCTGATCCAACACTGGCATCTCTTATGTTCTTATGTTCTTAAACCACCTCTGCTTGACTCTTTCCTTGAAAACCCTACGGGGTCGCCATCAGTCTGCTGTGACTTTACGGCACTTTCCGCCACCAGGGCAATGCCTGGCACAGCGGAATTAATCTGAATGCTGAGAGTGTTTTCGTGGTGTCACTCTGAGGCCTCTTGTCGTCGGAGGAAGCTGGTCGGCAAAGCAAAATGGCATCCAGCGTTCCCTGCGAGGGCCTCTCCCCTTGGACCCCGCTGGGTACGGAGATGCCTCTCACCTGCCAAGGTCCCCTCGCACTTCCGTCATGCAGCAAGCGAACACATTCCAGGCATTATTAGGAACTCCATTTCCTTTTACTATATCTCCATACCACTTCTCTGCAGTTCTCAAAACTGCTCCCAGTATACATAGCTGGATATCGATTACAAAGAGTTATTACATTTCTCACACTGGGGAGGGGCCGTGGCTCAGTGGCAGAGCCGCTGCTTGGCATGCAGAAGGTCTCCGGTTCAATCCCCAGCATCTCCAGCTACAAGGACCAAGTAGTAGGGGATGAGAAAGACCTCGACCTGAGACCCAGGAGAGCCTGGGTAGACTAGACTGACCTTGCTGGACCAATCGTCTGATCCAGCATAAGGCAGCAGGGATGGGAGAGCCAGTTTGGTGCACTGGTTAGGAGCACGGACTCTAATCTGGGAGAGCCGGGTTTGATTCCCCCGCTCCTCCACTCGCAGCTGCTGGTGTGACTTGGGTCAGTCACTCTGCAGAATCGCTTTGCCCACACCTTTTGTCAATCACGCCAGCGTCTCTGTCAGAGCTGTTCTGTTGAGGACTGTTCTGGAGAGAGCTCTCTCAGCCCCACCCTACCTCACCTACCTTGATTCCCCACCCCTCCACTTGCAGCTGCTGGATGATGTTGGGCAAGCCATAGTTCTGGCACAGCTGTCCTTGAAAGGGCAGTTCTTGAAAGAGCTCTCTTAGCCCCACCTGCCTCACAGGGTGCCTGTTGTGGGGAGGGAAAGGGAAAGGAGTTTGTAAGCCACTCTGAGACGCCTTCGGGTAATGAAGGGCGGGGTATAAATCCAATCTCCTCCTCCTCCTCCTCCTCCTCTTCTTCTGCATAAGGCACTCGCCTTTGTGCCCGTGTAGGCCAGCGTGGACTGATGTGGGAGGAAGCACAGAGGCTCTCAAGCTGTTCAGAACTTTACCAATGGTCCGGTCTCAGCAGGGTGACAGGTGTGGACAGGTATTCCCCTGGTTTGTATTTCCGGGGTGACCACAGCCCTCTCAGACTTGCTCAGACAACCGAGTGGTTCTGAGGGAAAACTCTACTGAAGGGATTCTTGGGTTAATTCCCATCTCTGCCACAAACATAGACCAGTTTCAGCCCCCCCATTGCAGGCGCAGACTATAACACTGGCCTACCTGACAGGGCTCTTCTCAGGATTACGGCAAGATAATGGGCACGAAGCAAGATAAATGTGCGTGGAGCCCCATTAATGCTGAAAGTGTTATACAAATGCCCAGAATTACTAGGACAACGATGAAGATGGATTCAAGTCGGGAGGCGTGTGGGTCCAGGCTTGCGAGTCCCCAAGTGGGAGCGGGGGGGTCCCCCGATTTCATGGGTGGGCTCCTGCCTGTTGCCAGTCAGCCGGCCAGTAGGTGGAAGCCCCGCCCACCACAGTGGCCACCCCTCATTGCAGCCATTCGGCTTCCCTTTACCTGCAAATTGAGTATGACGCACACGCACGGCAGGGAGTAATGATCCGTCTCATTTATACTTTGGAAAGAAACGTAATCTAACCAATATGATTGGGACAGAAGGCAGCATGATGCCGTCCACTCTCACCGGATATTGGAAGCTAAGCAGGGTCGGTACTTGGAAGGGAGACCACCCAGGAATACACTGCAGAGGAAGGCCATGGCCAACCACCTCTGCTTCTCACTTGCCTTGGAAGCCCCTTGCTGGGGTTGCCATAAGTTGGAAGCCAATCAGGGTCTATACTTGGAAAGGAGTCCACCAAGGAAGGCTCTGCAGAGGAAGGCCATGGCCAGCCACCTCTGCTTCTCTCTTGCTTTGGAAGCCCCTTGCTGAGGTTGCCATACGTTGGGAGCTAAGCAGGGTCTATACTTGGAAGGGAGACCACCAAGGAAGACTCTGCAGAGGAAGGCAATGGCTAACCACCTCTGCTTCTCACTTGCCTTGAGAGCCCCTTGCTGGGGTTGCCATAAGTTGGAAGCCAATCAGGGTCTATACTTGGAAGGGAGCCCACGAAGGAAGGCTCTGCAGAGGAAGAAGAAGAAGAAGAGAAGAGATTGGATTTATACCCCGCCCTTCACTACCCAAAGGTGTCTCAGAGCGGCTTACAAACTCCTTTCCCTTCCCCTCCCCACAACAGACACCCTGTGAGGTGGGTGGGGCTGAGAGAGCTCTTGACAGAAACTGCTCTTTTTCAAGGACAGCTCATATCAGAACTAAGGCTTGCCCAAGGTCGTCCAGCCAGGTGCATGTGGAGGAGTGGGGAATCAAACCCGGTTCTCCCAGATTAGAGTCCGCGCACTTAACCACTACACCAAACTGGCCATGGCCAGCCACCTCTGCTTCTCTCTTGCTTTGGAAGCCCCTTGCTGAGGTTGCCATAAGTTGGGAGCTAAGCAGGGTCTATACTTGGAAGGGAGACACCCCCCCAAGGAAGACTCTGCAGAGGAAGGCAATGGCTAACCACCTCTGCTTCTCACTTGCCTTGAGAGCCCCTGCTGGGGTTGCCATAAGTTGGAAGCCAAGCAGGGTCTATACTTGGAAGGGAGACCCCCCCAAGGAAGACTCTGCAGAGGAAGGCAATGGCCAGCCACCTCTGCTTCTCACTTGCCTTGAGAGCCCCTTGCTGGGGTTGCCGTAAGTTGGAAGCCAAGCAGGGTCTATACTTAGAAAGGAGCCCACCAAGGAAGGCTCTGCAGAGGAAGGCCATGGCCAGCCACCTCTGCTTCTCTCTTGCTTTGGAAGCCCCTTGCTGAGGTTGCCATAAGTTGGGAGCTAAGCAGGGTTGGTACTTGGAAGGGAGACCACCAAAGAAGACCCCCCCAAGGAAGACAATGGCTAACCACCTCTGCTTCTCACATGCCTTGAAACCCGCTTTCTAGGATCCCCATAAGTTGGAAGCTAAGATGGGTCTGTACTTGGAAGGGAGACCACCAAAGGAGACTCTGCCGAGGAAGGCCATGGCCAACCACCTCTGCTTCTCACTTCCCTTGAAAGCCCCTAGCTGGGGTCACTGTACGTTGGGAGCTAAGCAGGGTTGGTATTTGGATGGGAGACCACCAAGGAAGGCTCTGCAGAGGAAAGCAAAGGCCAACCACCTCTGCTTCTCACTTGCCTTGAAAGCCCCCTGCTGGGGTCACCATAAATTGGGAGCTAAGCAGGTTTGGTACTTGGATGGGAGACTCCTTTGGGTAGTGATGGGTGGGGTATAAATCCAATCTCTTCTTCTTCTTCTTCTTCTCCTTCTTCTTCTTCTTCTTAATCCAGGAGGAACAACCACCTGCCCACGGCACTTCCCCAACCAGGCAACGCCACTGCCACCGTGTTCATCTTGGTTGGATTCCCAGGTCTGGGAGCCGCTCAGTTCTGGCTGGCGTTCCCCCTCTGCTTCCTGCTCCTGCTGGCTGTCCTGGGCAACTGCATCATCGTCTACATCGTGAAGGTCGAGCGGAGCCTCCATGAGCCCATGTACCTTTTCCTCTGTATGTTGGCAGCCATTGACACGCTGATATCCCTGGCCACCATGCCCAAAATGATAGCCATATTCTGGTTCAAGTCCACCAGCATTGCCTTTGACGCTTGCCTGGTCCAGATGTTCTGCATCCACAGCCTGTCGGGCATGGAGTCCACCCTCCTGGTGGCGATGGCTTTCGACCGCTATGTCGCCATCTGCTACCCGCTGCGTCACGCATCCATCCTTACCGTACCCAGGATAGCTAAGATAGGACTGGTGGCCATAATCCGCGGGGCGGCCTTGATGGCCCCTCTGCTGAGCATTAAGAGGTTTCCCTTCTGCCGGTCCAACGTTCTCTCCCATTCCTACTGCCTTCACCAGGACATGATGAAGCTCGCCTGCGGCGACATAAAATTCAACATCATCTACGGACTGATTGTCATCATTTTTGCCATTGGGGTGGATTCGCTGCTCATCTCCTTCTCGTACTTCTTCATCCTGAAGGCGGCCTTGAGTTTGACCCACGAGGCACGTCTCAAGGCCCTTGGGACCTGCGTTTCGCACATCTGTGCGGTCTTTCTGTTCTACGTCCCCTTCATTGGTTTGTCCATGGTGCACAGGTTCAGTAAGACCCACGGTTCCCACGTCCACGTTATCATGGCCAATGTGCACCTGCTGGTGCCTCCTGTGCTGAACCCCTTAGTCTATGGGGTGAAGACCAAGCAGATCCGTCTCAGGATAGGGAGGGCTTTTGGCAGGGTCACACCCTGATATGGATTTCTGTCCATCCAAGAGCTCACTTCAAGGAAATTCTACCATCAGGGTCACTGTGCTGAAGTAATCTGTATACAGGTTTCTTTCCGGCCATATGAGGCCCAGGATAATGGAGTTTTCACTGTTCATGGTCTTGTTGATCCCACTTTGGTGTTCCCAGTTTGGTCCCAGTGTTACCATGTGTGCTTTTGAATGTATTATTGGTGTGTTGTTAATGCCATGTCTGTAACTGTCTCTGCATTTGGGTATGTGGGGTTTGGGAAATGCTGTGCCTGTTTCTGCTTGCTTTGCACCTGGACTAGCAGGGTTTGCCCTGCCTATGCAAATGGACTACAAGCATACCCACTGCTGCCCCAGCATGCTTTGCAATAAAGAAGACATTCTCCATTACACCCAGCTTGGGTAGACTGGAAAACGACAAGGAACCCACCATTACCTATCTCATGGAATGGCACGTAACCCCCATCTATCTGGGTCTGCATCACAAAAACAACATCCTGTTATTGCTTTCTTGGATCAAGCCATCGATCTACAAGTCAAAGGTTGCTATGGGAATACAACTTTGACACCTTGCCACATGGCTCCCCTTTGAAGTTAGGTTTAGAATTTGAATATTGCCCCACACCCCTCTAGGTAGGATGTCACAACCCTCCAACCTATAGGTATAGACAAGGGGACGGATTTTAAGTATAGATTGGCCTTATGCCAACCCCCAACACTAGGTTTTAAAAAGAGAAACACAGCCTTTGTTCTGAGTTAGCTAGCCATCCCCCACCTTTCTATAACTTACAACCTCCCTCCCCCTTCCACAGCAGGCAACTGAAGCTCTGCTATAGGGAAATTCTTAAGTGTTCTCTTGGAGTGCGTCCAAGAGAACCCACATGTGTTTTGGCTGGCCCAGCCGTGTGTAATAGAGTGCCTAGAGTTAGACCTTCTGTTCCCGTTTCTGCTGTTAAGTAAGTTTACTTCTAAAACCGGATCAGATAAGTATAACTCGCAACCTCTTGTGTGTAACCTCCCTGTGAGTTTTGTTATTATTTTTATTACTTATTGTTTTCTGCAACTGCTGTAACTAAAGGAATCTTGTGAGACTGTGAGAGTGCATCTGTTTTTGTATGCTTGAGAATCAACAACATTTAGTAAAGACAACAATTATTCTTAAACATCAGGTGTGTTGTCTTCTTGGGAAATAGGAGCGTCCGTTTCTGAATCCGCCCTCTGTATACAATTGGTCATAAAGAACTCAGAATAAGCCCACTGTCGTACATAAGACAGAGTTGGGCCACGGAACCATCTCGTTGAGAGGAGTTTCGGTAACACCAGTCAACGCTCCCTCTATGCTGTGGAGTCTTGTGAGCAAAAATTTTACTTTGTGAGCTACTGGCATTAAAGTTGTGAGCGAGCCATTTGGCTACTGCATAAAGCAGTTTGCACTGAAGCCATCCTTCCTGAGCTAAGACAAAAATATGTGAGCTGTGTTGGAAATGCATGTGTTTACAAGGTCTGACCAGTCATTATAGGGTTAACTTGTTTGCCTAGTATTGCTATTGTTTAGACTGACCTGGAAGGGATACCTGGCAGTAAGCCAATAGGGAATTAGCCCGGGAAAAGTAGCTTCTATTGTGATACAGATTGGTTGTTTGTTTCAGGTGACTTCCTTTCTAGGGGTCGAGAAGAAGGACAGATTCTCCATTATCTCTGTGTTAGTGTTGACTATAGACAGCTTAGAAAATGTAGCTGTTAGTGTTATGTTTATTTGTAGTTATCCCGTGTACCTTTTACCCTTAGAAATAAAGGTTTTTAACAGCAAAGAAATCTCTTCTTTCCAATAGAGCAAGATCCATTGATAGTCTGAGTATTAAACACTTTTGACTGTTTTACAACAAGCGGATGCCAGTCACAGTAACTGGCGGAACGTCAGGTTCTACAATGCCAAGACCTTGGCCACACAAAAAAGCAGCGGCCTCTAATCTGGAGAACTGGGTTTGATTCCCTACTCCTCCACATGAAGCTGCTGGGTGTCGTGAGAAAAATGGAATAGTTAGTTCAGAACATTTAAAACCCATTCATACAGTTAAATTTATAAAGTAGTCATAGTGTTGTTTTTCTATCTCTTCTCTATTTCTGTAACTTTCCAAGCAGGAAGCAGCAGGGCTATTTTTTGGCAGGAACGCACAGGAACGGAGTTCCGGCTGGCTCCCGAGTTGGCCACGCCCAGCAGGAGCTTATTAGCATAATGGGCCACACCCAAGAGCAGAAACTCAATAGGATTGGCTACATTAGGGGTGTCTGGCCTAACATGCAAAGGAGTTCATGCTACAAAAAAAAGGCCCAGGGTTTTGACAACAAACAAGGTAAACAGAATAAGAAGGGAAAGGTGGGTGTGGCTGGATGACCACACTTCTGGTAACACGGGGGGGTGGCCTAATGTGCTAATGAGTGGTGCTGTCAGGGTGTGGCCTAATATGCTAATGAGTTCATGCTGGGCTTTTTCGACAAAAAGACCCCTGGGAAGCAGCACAGTGAACCCGACTCCCTACATGCTTTTATGAAAAAACGACTGAACTAGACAAGATTTGGCTAAATACTAATGAGAAAATTATTTTTAAAATTTATAATTTTTTTTGCTTGATTGGAAAATGCAAGATGAATGGGTAAAGCCCTCAATGATAACCCGGGCTCAGGACCTGGGCGACAACATAGAACTAGATCAGTGGTCTAAAGTTTGGTTGAGAAACATAAAACTTGTCCAAACAAGTGTTTTTAAAGAGAATATACTGAAAATGTTTTATAGATGGCATATATCTCCAGACAGATTAAATAGATATAATAAAAATGTATCAATTGACTGCTGGAAATGTAAACATAATATTGGTACATTTTTTCATATGTGGTGGCTATGTAAGAAGGCTAAAAAATATTGGATTATTATAAAAGAGAAGAAGAAGAGTTTTGATTTATACCCCCCGCCCTTCACTACCCAAAGGTGTCTCAGAGCGGCTTACAAACGCTTTTCTCTTCCCCTCCCCACAACAGACACCCTGTGAGGTAGGTGGATCTGAGAGAGCTCTGACAGAAACTGCTCTTTTTCAAGGACAGCTCTGAGAGAACTGTGACTGACCCAAGGTCATCCAGCCAGGTGCAAGTGGAGGAGTGGGGAATCAAACCCGGTTCTCCCATATTAGAGTCCGCGCACTTAACTACTACACCAAACTGGCTATTGAGGTTATTGAAGATATGTTAGATAATCTACAAAAATAATTCTAAGGACAGGATTTAACCAAAACATAACTTTCCTAATCAGCCATAAACTCGGCACCAATAGTTATCGAAAACTTAGTTACCAATAGTTATCAAAAACTTTGATAACAATAGTTATCAAAAACCAGTAGTTATCAAAAACTGCATCCAGCCAGGTGCAAGTGGAAGAGTGGGGAATCAAATCCGCCAGAATTTTTTCTCCTAAATATAATTCCTGAATTGTTCAAGAAAATTGATGTTTATTTAATTATGCAAATTTTGACAGTTGCAAGGATTGTATTTGCAACATTTTGGAAAAATGACAACACACCAACTAGGGAAGATTTTATTAATAAATTATTTAAGGTGGCTGAAATGGAAAAATTAATATTTACCTTACAATGTAAAAATGAAGACGTTTTTGATAACTATCGGTGCTGAGTTTATAGCTGGTTAGGAAAGTTATGTTTCGGTTAAATCCTGACTATGACAGTAGCCATGAAATTAAAAGACGCCTGCTCCTTGGGAGGAAAGTGATGGCGAACCTAAACAGCATAATAAAAAGTAGAGACATCACCCTGCCAACAAAAGTCCGCATGGTCAAAGCAATGGTATTCCCAGTAGTCATGTATGGCTGCGAGAGTTGGACTATAAGGAAGGCTGAGCGCTGAAGAATAGATTCTTTTGAACTATGGTGCTGGAGAAGACTCTTGAGAGTCTCTTGGACTGCAAGAAGATCAAATCAGTCAATCCTAAAAGAAATCAACCCTGACTGTTCCCTGGAAGGCCAGATAATGAAACTGAAGCTCAAAGACTTTGGCCACCCAATGAGAAGGGAGCACTCCCTGGAGAAGAAAACCCTGATGCTGGGAAGGATTGAAGGTCAAAGGAGACGGGGACGGCAAAGGATGAGATGGTTAGACAGTGTCATAGATGCAATGAACATGAAGTTGAGCAAACTTCAGAGGACGGTGGAAGACCGGAGGGCCTGGAGGGATCTGGTCTATGGGGTCGCGAAGAGTCGGACTCGACTGTGCGACTGAAAAACAAATGCCATGGGGATTGGGATGTTCTTTCAGTGTCTGTGTAAATTGCTTTTGCATTCCTCTCTCTGCTTTGCGCTGAAATGCTTATCTCTGAAGAAGTACAGGTGGGGGTGTGTGTTGTCTGCCTTCCAGGCCAGCCGTGTGAGCCGACCAATTCCCAGCTTCGCATAGTAACAGTTTGCTGGCTTTAGCCCGCGCACGGGAGGGTGCCTAATTGGCCAGCGCAGTGGGGGTGGGGGTGCATATGAATGCCCTATATCTCATTAGGTTCAAGAGACAACTGCTATTCTTAACAGTGACTGTGTTAATGCATCTATGGCTCTTCAATAAAAGTATAACCTTTCCAAGAAGTGTGTACTCCATTGTTGGCTGTGGGTTCTGACAATAACATAAGAGAAGCCAATGATAGATCAGGCCAAAGGCCCATCCAGTCCAACACTCTGTGTCACACACTGGCCAGAAATACCAGTGCCATCAGGAGGTCCAGCAGTGGGGCCAGGACACTAGGAGCCCCTCCCACTGTTGCCCCCCCCCAAGCACCAAGAAGACAGAGCATCACTTGCCCCAGAGCCCCTATCTATACCTTGTGGCTAATAGCCACTGATGGACCTCTGCTCCATATGCTTATCTAATTCCCTCTTGAAGCCATCCGTGCTTGTAGCCGCCACCACCTCCTGTGGCAGTGAATTCCATGTGTTAACCACTCTTTGG